ACAGGAAACCAACCCCCCCACCCCTCCCCAGGCCCCCCCCCGCCTCCCCCCCGAGCCCCGGCCCCCCCCCGACCCACTCCCCCCGCCCCGGGCCCACCCCCCGCACGCTCACATATGCTCACGCGTCCTAGCCCTCCACCCAGAAGAGCGGGGCCTGGGCTGTTCCTTCACCTACAGCGGTCACATTCGCTGCTAGTCCCTCCTAGTCCCTCCGTGGCTGCCAGTTCCTGCGATCTGGGTGAGGAAGTTAACTCAGACGGGATAAACTCAGAAGTGAAACTGCTCTGGGAGGCGGGGCCCTGTAAGATGTAGGGAGGAAACCAGTGAAGTTGCCCGTATCTTTTGCACTCAGCTTGTCCTGAAAGGGAGGAGAGACCATAGGAAAAATAATTTTCTTTTACAGCAATGAAAGTAAAGGCAAATTCATAGCCCAATTAACTCTTTTGTGACCCCAGCACAGAAGATCTAAAACCAGGAAGTCTGCAGAGTTCACAGACTCTGACTTGAGATCTTTCTACATTTACCGCCCACTCTCTTGAGATTCATAAGCCTTCCTGGCCAATGTTATGTTTAGCTATTATTAGTTCACTTCTTGTTTTGTAACTGCTCTTAATGGTACAGTGCGAAAAGGGCTAGTGACAGTAGTGGGGCTCACTGGTATCAGAAAGCTTGCTCAAGCATGTCTCCCCTTCTCTGTCGTGATGCTGTGTCTCATTTTCCTCCTCAGTGTCTCTGGAGGATTCAAAAACTTACCAGTGGTCAGAGTCAGCCACCAAGGACAGCAAACGAGAGCCTCTGCCCAGCAGTGTGGCCTCAGCTGGGAGCCATGTTCAACCTGGGGGCCATCACTCTGCTCTGCACCCTGTTGGGGAAAGACTGTGGGGTCTGGACTTGAGTTCTTCGTGCCTCAACTCCAGTCTCTCTAGTTCAAAATAAGAGCAAAAATACTGTCTCCACCCAAGTTAGAGTTACTATTTAATGGGAAATAACAGCTTAAAATAAGACCCTGCCACATGTATAGCCTTACGTGTAAGAGGTATTTATGATAAGGGCACAATAAATGCTTGCTTAGGAAATAAACATTTGCAGTGAACCAA